CAGTTTCTCCACATTCTCTTGAATGTGACCTTGATTCCTGACTCTTCAGTAGGGCCTTAGGAGGAGAAAGACTCCCCTTCCAGACCCTGATGATAAGCATCCCTAACTTCTGTAGAATAACCTCTTCTAGAGTGGCCCCTGGGGCTTCCCAGATGGAGCTAGTGGTAAAGAACCTGCCTGCCAATGAGGAGACATAAGAGATGCAGGTTCAGTCCCCGGGTCAGGAAGATACCCTGGAGGAGGGCATGGCAACCCACTCCAGTACTTTTGCCTGGAGAATTCCCATGCACAGAGCAGCCTGATGGGCTACAGTCCATGGGGTCACAAAGAGTCGGACACGCCTGAAGCAACTCAGCATGCATGCACACAAAGTGGCCCCTGCAGCAGTATTTGCTTGCACTGAAGCTCCTGACAGCAGACTGCCTCGGGCTCCACCTTGCATCTCCAGAGAGAAGAAGAGCACCAGAGAGTCAGATGCCTGAGCCCCAGAGAGTGTTTGTGATGGATTCTAACACACAAGGATTAGGTCTTGGTCTGAACCACAGACCAAACCCATAAAAGAAGAGCATAGAGCACCAGTTCCATCAGGGGGCTGTTCATGCAGAGCCATGCTTCAAGTTGACTTGGGAAGAGCATCTCAGACAGACACAGCACTAGAGGGTCACAGAATGACTTTCCATAACCTCTTGTTCTGTGGAAGCCGGGACATTATAACATCTCTGTTGTTTAGAAATAGAGGACAGCATCTTGTTGGCAAATAATCAAATAGACTGTTTGACCTATTGAAGTCATTATTTCTCCAAATGGAGTCACAGCTATAAATGAAGGAAAAATGTTTCAGGCTTTAAGTATCACTGTGTGAAGGGTATGCTTCCCCTTACCAGACATCTAGAAGGTACCAAAAATTCTATTTTGAGAGAACTGGGTGGTGGTTAGAATTTCCAAGTCTTTGGAGAGACCGGTCCTGCAGATCAGCTGGGACATAACAGGACTTTAGCCAAAGCTAAGTACACACTGACAGATCCTTGTGGTGGCCCTTCTGGGTACCAGTTCTAGTGATGTGTGCCTGCCATGCTGGTTTCTTGCATGGGAATTCGTTTTGATGCCACTATATATTTTTTCTCATCTATCCAAGGGGAAGGCTATGATGAGGAACAGCAAATGGCTGAGCAATAGAAGGAAACAGGTAAAATGCACTGTCAAAAAGCTTAGGACTACAACAGTTTCCCCAAGACAAGAGGTTCCCCAAACTTAGGGAGTTCTGCGTAGCCTGTCAGTGCAGAACTGACAAGGGGGCTGGAGCCTTTGGTGGTCTCCTTCCTGTCCCCAGGTGCTTTTCTGAATGGTGTCACCACTTGGGTTTGATTGATGGAACTTGGATTGCCCAGCGAGCCTGAGCTATGTCACAACTGAGGTTGGGAAACTATTCTGCACTTGCATTTATCACTTATATCATTTGCAAAGTCAAAAACCATTCAGGGCACACCTAGGGTGCTCATGGGAGCGCCTGGGATGGGTAATGAATCCAAACTCGCTTTCGGGCTTGCTCACATGACAGAGAGTCTGTCTGGCACGATGATGAAGAGAAACGAGGACAGGCTCTATCCCTTCTGTGCACATTCCAGTTAATTTCCCAGAAGCAAACACAAGTGATAAGAGTTCCAAGCACAGAAGTGTCCAGGATGACAAATGAAGTGGGTTTTTTGTGTGTTTTGGAAGGTGTCGGGGGACGGTCATGAAAGTGGAGTTTGGTTTTCCTCTTTTTTTTTTCCTTTAAGTGAACAAGAATAAGAGGAAAACTGCAAGGGCATAAAACCTCCCTATCTCAGGAACTTACTGCAGAGACAGGGTTTGACATGGGAAAGGTGTTTAGTATGCAAACAAAATGCCGTGTGATGGGGGTTTGGAGCACGGACTGAATTGATAAAAGAAACTGGGCCATCCTGCTGTGCTGAAGACCTCACGCTGTGCAGAGCAAAGGCAGCTAATATATCACAGAGCTTGATGAGGCTGGGCGAGTGGATCAGCAAGGAACTGCCAAGGTCTCTGAGGCTATAAAACGTGATGCAGTTTGATCCTGCCACCAACTGGCTGGGTGATTTGAGTAAATCTTGGCCTTATCTTCTGGCACCTTGAAAGAGGATAGTTTGTCGTCGGTTAATCACTTTGCAAATGCATTCTCAGAACCAAATATTGACTATCCACTGTGGCTGAGAAGCTGAAACAATATTACAGCAACGATCTTCGAAAGCTCACATATAATGATGGGCATTAAGGACTGAGGGATGATACAATTGGCTATACAAGTGCACTGCCAGTGAAGGTTTGGGGAGGACAGAGCTGGCTGGTGGTCAGGCCACCATGTTTTCTGACACCAAGCAGTGGGCAGCTCTGCAAGATCCCCAGGAGGATCCTGATGGTGGGGGACAACTCTATGCCTGTGTCTTATGTTGACACCATATTTATATTAAGTATAAGCCTACTTCAACAGAGAATGAGATGGTTGGGTGGCATCACCAACTCAATGGATATGAGTTTGAGCAAACTCCGGGAGATGGTGAAGGACAGGGAAGAGTGGCGTGCTGCAGTCCATGGTGTCACAAAGAGTTGGACACAACTTAGCGACTGAACAACAAAGTCTACTTCAGACATGGAGTGTCTTTAATCATCACTCCCTCAGAGCCAGAAGGGAAAGAAGGGAGCTGAAGCAGACGGACGTCTGCAGAGAACAGTGAGTGAAGTTTCCACATTTTGTCAGCCCTCGCAAGTGAGCAGGTAGCTGGTCATTGTGGCTAACTGGTGTATGGTATGTTTAATTTAGCAAGAGACCTTGAACTATCAACAAAATCAATTTTTAATGTTGATAGTAAAATCCAACTTGAACCAAAAGGAAGTTATTTTATCTAAAGTAAAAGTAATTTCATATGCTTACTTTTATCCATCCCCCCACCATCAATTCAACAAATATTTATTTAAATCCATAAAAGCATGTCACTCCACAGAAACAATGTGAGATATATATATATATATATATATATATATATATATATACATATATATATATATGAGATATAAACATACAAGCAAAATACACAATCAGTGACCTCGTAAGGTGGTATTTTGAATTTTGTCTACATCATGATCTGTTAAGTTATCATACTAATACACATTTCCCTTTTTATGGACAGGGAAGCCACAAGGGCTGATAACTCTTTCTTTTCTTTCTGAGATCTTCAGCCTTGACAGTATCTCTCCAGACCTTTATTTTTTTCTCTCCTTCTCTCCTCTCTGCCCTTCCTCCCTCCCTCTCTCCCGTCCTCTCTTTCTTGTAATCACAAGTTGACTTTATTCAACTGCAGAAATGATACTGAATGAAACTTCATAAACCTTCAAATTGAATTTTTTTTCCTCATAGAAAAGAATCACACAAGGGCTGGAAAATCCACTTCAGGGTGTATCCTAGGATTCCAAATTTCAAGAACTGAGACAGACCGACTTATAATATCTATTTAAACTCCAAAGTAGGCTAGTAATGGGCTTCCTGGTGGAGAACAAAAATCATAGTGTTGGCATCAACTTATGGTAGGGGCAAAGGACAACTCAAGAACTCATAATGAATCTCAGTTATTGTAGAAAAAACTACCTGACTTACCTTTTCCATCCTACACAACAGAAACTTACATTTTTTTGAATCCTACAGATTTAAAAATGATTCCATGTACCACATATTTGCTTAATCCTCAAGGCAACTCTGTAAAGTACGTGTTATTTCCATTTCAATAGGTGGGTATAGGCTCAACGACATTATTGTTATTGGTTATTGACTACAGTGTTAGACACTTTACAAAAGACTCTCACACACATATCATTTGAGCCTTTTATCCTTGTTGTGTAAATAAGATATATAGCTATAGCCCTCAGTTCATGAGATGTGAAGGTTCAGATAGCTAGTGAAAGATGCAGCTGGACCTTGGCAGAGCCTGAAAAATTAAAGAGTTCCCCTCATCCCATCACCACATTGTACAGTGGAAAAGCTGAACCGGAGCAATGGTGGTGAGGGGTGGCTCCAGGGCTGGGTCATTCATGGCCAAAGATGATATGGCAAGTTTTTGGCTATGCCAGATATAGGAGCAGTTCTAATTTCATCTTTTTGGAGCATAACCGAGAAGAGGAAAAGGATCTTGGAAGTGAAACAAACATTTGCATAGGATAGTGGGTGGTAATTCCCCAAGCTTTTCAGTTCTCCTAAATAGGACTGCTAGATAAAATACAGGATGCCCCTATAGCTAATGCAATATTGGGGACATACTTACACTGAAAATATTTGGTTTTTATCTGAAATTAAAATTTAACTGGGCATCCTATATTTTTATTGGTTAGATATGGCAGCTCTACTCCTAAGGGAATGGTAATTCAATCTTAGGCCCCTTGCTCTTATCTCTATAAAGCATTTGTACAATGGTGGCAATAATTTGAATGCATGCATGCTAAGTTATTTCAGTTGCGTCCAACCCTGTGATCCTATGGACCTTAGCCCCAGGCTCCTCTGTCTATGGGATTCTCCAGGCAAGAATACTGCAGTGGGTTGCCATGCCCTCCTCCAGTGGATCTTCCCAACCCAGTGATCGAACCCACATCTCCTGCAGCCCCTGCATGGCAGGCAAATTCTTTACCACTAGTGCCACTAGGGAAGCCTCAACAATAATCTACAAATGGCAATTGTGATTAAAGCTCTCAACTGAGGTAACTTCCTATTATTTCTGACTTGAGCAGCCTAATGTTAGGATTGGGGAAAATTTATGTATTTCCATAGCTTTTGAATTTGGCAGATCAGGCATTACATAATTGCTAGCAAAGCCCAGTTTCTGGCACTGAACTGACAATGTGGTCCATACCTCTGTAGTACAACTCTCCCCAGATGTCACTAGGCTGAGAAATCCACACCTAGCCCTGGTACCACGTTCACTTCATCCCATTCTTTGAGTAGAAGAGTCACTTACTTGTATGGGATGTGCTTGCTGCCATTGACGAGAGCCAGGATGACATTGCCCAGGGCAGACAGTGAGAGGCACAGCCCTGAGCCTCCTTCCCGATTTTTGCTAAGAGCTTTCACACAGCTGCCAAGATCGATGAGGTGCAGGCGGCTGCGGCCTCCAGACACTGCCACAGGAGAGAAGACAAGAGAAGAAAGGACTGGTTAAGTCTGGTAAGCCCTCATCTGTCCTTCATGCAGCTCCTTGGGAAATCTGAGGGGAAAAAAGAGGAAGTAAAAGGCTGAAGTTCATGATCTAGTACGAGACCCCAATCAAATCATGCAGGGGTAACAAATAGCACAGTCCTCTTAGATTCTGTCCATCACACACCACTGGCCTTCTGAAACCTATGGACATTCATACTATAAATAAAGGAATAATTCCTTCTGGTTGAATGAGATGAGATTTAACAGAGAAGGTAAATTTCTATTGAAAGAGAGTAAGATTTGTGCCTACAGAAATTTCTGCCTTTGTGTAACAGAATTCTGAAATTGATCGTATTAAAACATGAATAGCCCATAAGTGATTATCTGCTTTGGTTGAGTGTTATAGAGACCAGTGACCTAAAGCTCAGCCAGGAATCAGGTTAATAACTCAAAATAATAATCAAATGGGTTAAAACCAGTAATAATGAGAAAAATCTTGAAAATAGCCAGAGGGGGAAAATCATGTTACAAGTAAAGGAACAATGATAAAATGATGTTTCTCAGAAATAATACAGGGGAGAAGACAATGGAGTGACATTCTTAAAGTACTGAAAACTTCCAACCTACAGTTATATACCCAGCCAGAGTCTCATTCTCAGATAAAAGGAAAATAAAGACTTTTTCAGACTTAAAAAAGCTGAAAGAATTCATCATGAAGGATATACATAAAAGAATGGAGAGTTTTGGAAATGACAACCATGTGAATAAATATATGCTTTTCTCTTATTTAAATCTCCTTAAAAGTTAATTGACGGCTAAAGCAAAAATAACAACAATGTAATATGTGGGTATAACACACACACAATTAAAATGATTGACAACAACAGCACAAAGTTAAGGAGTGGAGAAATGAAAATACTCTACTGTAAGTTTCTTTTTCTAGACATGAAGTGGTATAATATCACTTGAAAGTAGACTGTGATAACTTAAAGATGTATACAATAAATCCTACAGCAATCACTAAATAAAGATTTAGAGCTAAAAAGCCAGCAAAGAATATTAAGTGGAGTCATATAAAATGTTCAATAAGTTCAAAAGAAAGCAAATAAAATAAAAGGGAAAACAAAGAACAGATGGGTTGAAGAGAAAACATACAAAAAAATAATACTTTGGGCCACACCATATGAATTATCCCATTAAATGAAGTAGTCTGAATATCCTTATTAAAAGTCGATATTGTTGGATTTGATAAAAAGCAAGACTCTTCTACATGCTGCCTATGGGAAGTGCACTTCAAACATAAAGAAACAATAGGTTGCAAATGTAAGTATAGAAAAGGCTATACCATGCAAATGGTTGCCGTAAGAAAGCTGCAGCAGTTACAATATCAAACAAAAGAGACTCGAGACAAAAATATTACTGGAGGGAAAGAGAGACATTTTATAATGATAAAGGACAAAATTCATCAGGAGGTCCGAACAATCAAAAATGTTTATGCTTTAATAATGGAAGTTAAAACATATGAAGTAAAATCTGATAGAATTGCAATAATGAACAGAAAACTCCAGACTTATAGTTGGAGATTTCAAATACCCCTTTCTCAATAACTGATATAACAAGTAGACAGAAAACCAGTAAGGAAGATCTGAACAACTATCAATTCATTCTACCTGACATTCACAGAACATTCAACCCAACAACAGCAGAATACAGTCTCTTTTGAATTGCACACAAAATATTTACCAAGATAGACTATATTCTGGTACATGAAACAAATCTAAGTAAATCTTAAAGGCTTCACATCATTCCAACTACACTCTGATACATTAAATTTGAAGTCAATTCAGAAAGATACCTGGAAAATCCCTAAATATTTTGAAACTCAACAACACAGCTCCAAATAACAGGGTCAAAGAAGAAACCAAAATGGAAATTAGAAAGTGTTCTTAAGTGAATGAAAATGAAAAACAACATATCCAAATTAGTAAGACACTTCTATTGTTATAAGGAATTTACCCCATTAAATGCCTGTATCAGAAAACAACAGACGTCTCCAATCAGTTACCTCAGCTTCCACTTTAATAAACTAGGAAAAGATGAGCAAATTAAAGACTAAATAGCAGAAAGGGAATAATTAATATAAAATCAGAAATCAAGGAAATATAAAATTTAAAGAACAGTAGAGAAAAATCAATACCATCTAAAGTTGACTCTTTAAGAAGAATAAAATTCATATCTCTCTAGCATGATTGATCAGCAAAGAGCGAAGACACAAATTTCCCATGTCAGGAACAAAAGAGGTAGTAGCCTCACTACAGTTTCTAAGAATAAAAAAAGGATAATAAAGAAACATGATGCCAGTAAGTTAGCACAACTTGGAAGAATGAACACATCTCTTGATAGATACAAAGTACCAGAGCTCACTCAAGAAGTAATAGATAATGTGACTAACCCTACATCCATTAAAAAAATAGAATCTGTAGTTAACAACCTTTCTACAGAGAAAGCAGTGTATTTAACCACACTGGTGAATTCTACCAAACTTTAAAGGAAGAGATAATATCAATCTTACACAAATTCTTCCTGAAAATTAAATAGGAGAGTGTGCGCATGCTAAGTCATTTCAGTCGTGTCCAACACTTTGCAACATCATGGATTGCAGCCCACCAAGCTCCTCTGGCCTTGGTTTTCTCCAGGCAAGGATACTGGAGTAGGTTATCATTTCCTCCTCCAGGAGATCTTCCTGACCCAGGGATCGAACCCGTGCCTCTTACATCTCCTGCATTGGCAGGAGCGTTCTTTACCACTAGTGCCACCTGGGAAGCCCCAGATAGGAGAGACTACATCCCAATTAATTCTTCGAGACCAGGATTATCCTGATAGCAAAAACAAAGATATTCCAAGAAAAAAGTTGAAGACCAGTTATTCCTCATGACCAAATAGGCAAAAGTTCTAAACAAAATACTAGTGAGTCATACTAGAAAATTATAGCTAGGAACATATTAAAAGGATTTTTATACCATGAATAAATTAATTAATGACTAAATAAGTGAATTAATCCAAGGAATGCAGGGTTGGTTAACAAAAAATTCATCTATTATTGTAATTCACCATATTAGCAGACTAAAAAGAAAAAGATTCTCTCAGCAGATGCAGACAAAGCATTTAACAAACTCCAATATCCATTACTGATAAAAATGGTCAGCAAAATATAAATCAAAGGTGATATTCTCAGTTTAATAAAAAGTGTCTAGGAAAAACCTGCAGCTAATAGAATTCTTAGTAGTAAAAGACTAAAGCTTTACAAGATCAAGAACAAGACAAGGATGTTCACTCTTTCTATTCAACGTTATAGGGGAGGTTCTAGCCAGCTCAACAGGGAAGAAAAAGAAATAAAATGTATCCAGATTGGAAAGAAATAAGTTAAACTGTCTTTCATGACAGTTTACATGATTATCTATGTATAAAATCTAACAGAAGCCACAAAAAAAGCAACCAGAACTAATAATTGAGTTTAGTAATTTGTAGAATACTAGGTTCATGGATCAAGATTATCTCGATATCTTGTATTTCTAAACTGTAGGGACAAACAACTGGAAATTGAAATTTAAAAATACCTTTTACAGTAACATCAAAAATATTAAATACTTACAGATAAATCTGACAAAAGATACATTCACTGAAAACTACAAAACATACCTGAGAAAAATTAATAAAGACTTGAAAAAATAGAGAGAAGTCTGATGCAGGAAAGCAAGGAAAACATCCAGGAACCACTGTCCTGACCCCAGCCTTGTCTCTGCTCATCCTGTCTCAACTTTACATCTAGCACTAACAAAACAGGTGATGAAGGTTTACAGAAAATATAAAATTTCAATTCACGTTCTCCAGTGACTCTGGCACACTTGTGGCAAAAAACTTTCCACATTAAGGATGTTATATTTTGTTTATCTCCAACTATCTCCAATAAAAATCCTTAATAGGAAAGATATAATATGTAACTTTTCTTTAATCTTATTTTGAATTATGCAGGATCAAGCCACTGGCAGCGTGCAAGGGAAATAGTTATTTTTAAAGCAAAATATCATCTGTTTTGCAACCTAATTATATAGACAGAAGAAGCTCAGATATTTCATGCGCTCTGCAGATTAAAGGGCAAAGACAGGGACCAATTTGGACTTTCAGACTCTAATAGTCCATTTGATGTAATGGAATAAAATTCGTAATGTACATGTAGTAAAATAGAACACAGAGAACAAAAGCATAGTTTAGACTGTGCTAAAGAATAATATTATAAAATACCTGTAATTATGCCTGCATGACTCAAAATGAGAGTCATATTTTAAACAATGTAAAATCAACTTTGCTCTATAACCACCGGAGTTTCAGTAGTCACAGAATTCTGAACTTCACACACAGTGCTGAATCCAGAATGGTACACAATGAGTGAGCACAGGCCATCAGCTATTACCAAGCATTTCCATTACTACAGGTGGTTGGAGAGAAAGTAGTTCTAGAATCAATGAACAATAAGTGATAATTAATAGCAGGTAAGAAGCAGGTTCCTCACGGACTTTTCAGATTTTTAAGGTCAGAGCTGCAAGGTTTAGGAACACAACCCAGTCTGCTTTGAGACTGTTTATATTTGAATATGTGTATTTCAAGTCTAGACTTTGACCAAATAAAATTACCCATATGTCTTACTCTCCCACAGGAAGCAATATACTAATTAACCCCACTCCTGAGTGATTCTTCCAACTCATGTTCATGGAGCCAGGATATGCTAAATTCTCCCCAAAACATTTAATTCCTACAATAATCCTATAGGGCAAGAATTGGCTCTGTTATATAGATGAGGAAACTGAGGTTCACAGATGTTAAACAAATCACTCAAGATCTCATAGAAAATTAAAACTCAAGATGAAAATCCAGAGCTAACTTTTACAGTTATAGTTTACTCTTTTAACTCACTTTCCCATAA